CTGGCTAAGCCAGAATTTTAGTGATCAAAATAATCACATAAGTGATTATTTATTTGTTTATTTTATAATATGTGAATAGTAACTTAATTTATTTTTAGTGCATGATTAATCAAAATATAACAAATAAGAAATTAATGATCTAAAATTTTATAATAAGAGCTTAGAAATTTCTTTTAAGTCTATCCAACTTTTACTTGATACATAATATAACTTTCTAAATAATCAAACTCCTTTAACATACTTATCAAAATCTGATAATAAGATCAATATTTTTTTACTACAAAGACTATAATCTTGTCAGAAAGATTATGATCATATATACTCATATACTAAGCAGATTAATATATAAAATAACAAATTTTGATTAGAGTAATAGATTCTAATACATATAGAATAACATCTTTAAGATCTTGAAAGATATAATTATAATATAATCACAAGTATTACTTTGCTTCTTTTCAGAATAACTTAATAAAATTGAGTTCACAATAAAACTTTAGATAAAATATATATATATGACTAGCTGTTTTGATAATATTCTATAAGTAATTTTTCTATGATACAAAATCAGGCTAATAACTAAGAATTTGCATTATATAATATTTTGAATTCACTGAATTAGAGATATATAATTTATATATATATCATATTATCTTCCTAAATCTTGTATCTATAACTCATACTCTTAAAGAATTTATCAAATACTCTTTGATTTTGTTATATTATTAATATCTATGAATATTAAAATATGAGAAAAACTATCAGACATCTAACTATCATGAAGAAATAATTACTTACCTTTATTCTTTAAGTTCATATATAAAACTATTAGAATATTATTGATAAAAGCAGTATAATTATAACTATTATTAAACATGAAAAGTATGATCTGTTCATTCAAAAATTAGAATAGCTCTTTCAGTTACTTGTTTTATAATATTATCATTTATCTACTAATCATCTTGATTTAAGTCTAAATAAATAATATAGATATTAATATATATAAGATGTTTGTGATCAGAAAGCAAGTTATTTGTTACTTGATCTTCTTGTAAAAGATAAAGATATCTAATTAATTCACAAATAAAATCATTTATATAAATACTAAGCTCTTGTAATTTGTACTGGATTTTATTTTTATCTACAAGACTCTAAGTAGTAATAATATTATCATTTATATAAAAAACTAATTTATTATAAGTAACTGGAATAAGTTTGAGAATATTAGATAAAAGTATTAGTAGAATAACTTGATTCATATTCTTACTCTTATAGATAGTAATCTGAGACTATAGACTAATTATTTGTTTCAAAAATTGATTTTAATAAGTTATCATATCCTTCTATTCATAACTGTCAAAAAAAATATTTTTTGAGTAGTTTTTGTAATCCCAGCCAAAATGATATAATTATTTTCAAGCTATTTTTCTAGAAATTATTTTTTTTTCTTTAATTTCAAAAGCTAGAATAGCCTTATTCTTCACAAACTTTATAAATTAATAAATAGTTATTTTAAATTTATTGGTCCACAAATACTTAATAATATTCAATTTGAAGTTTTTATAAAGCAAGAATAATCTGATTTTTGCATGATAGTCATGACATGATATAGAAAGTTAACTATTACTCAACTATTAATTAGTTCAAGAACAAATAATATATATATATTATAGATCCTTATTAATACTTGAAATGAAAAGTTTGCTAACTGCTAGTTTAAAAAACTCCCTATCTTTAATCAAGTGAAGAAATTAACTTACTACACAAAGTTATATATTATCAAACTTTTTCTTTAATATGATATTAAGTAAGTTCAAAGTAAATTTATTATTATCATTTTCAGAATTAACCATCTTATTATATAAGAGTTTATTAATTTTTATCAAGAGATTTATCAATATTACTACTAATCAATCTTTTTATTATTGTTAAGAATCAGTTTGTAATTTTATTGGTGTTTGAAGTTATCTTTTTTCAAACTGCTTTCTTGTTCTACAAAATTAATAAAACAAAACTAATATAAAATAATTTTCATTTTTTTATTATCTATGTATTTGATTATTTAGCTTTTTTAATAAGTTGTTCAAACATATTTGATTTCAGTCTTTTCAACTTCTCTATAAATTAATTATTATTTAAAGATTTACTTTCATTATCCATCTATAAAGTATCAAAGTCTTGTTTATTATAATTAGATTTAATATATAATTCTTGCTCATTATGCCTTAACTTATTATCATCCTAGTACTTCTGGATAGCTAAAATACAGTATTAAGTATGTTTATTTTATTTTAATATAATTAAGAAGAATAAATAGTCAAATATCTAATATTAATATAAAAGAAAGGCAAAAATATGAATGCTAAAAACTTGAAAAGGAAAAAAGAAGTTTGAGCATGATAGTATAGTCATATATAAATTCTACCTAATAGAATAAATATGAGAGATCTACTGAGTAATTCATGAAATTATATAATCACAGATTATTTCCTAATTAATTTTCTATTAATTAATTTATGATTTCATTGATCAATATTCTGATCTCTTATCAAGTTGATCAAATTCTTCAAGTTATAGTGCTAGTTTCTGTTTAAGAAGATAATTTGTTAATTATAGTATCATAATTTCATTATTTAGTATTTATAGTCTTAGGATATTAATAGAAAATATAGAAATAGATCAATAATAATTCAAAGAAATATATGTATTTATTTAAGAATAATAATAATCTTTATTTTATTTAATAAGAACTTTTATTATAATAGTAAATTATTTGATAGTTAATTCTTAATTATAATTCTATCTTGCTTTTACTTTAAAGTTCTTCTTATTTATAATCAAATTTTTTTCTACTATTCTTGTTGTGATTTTATATCATCAAGATTAATGAATTATTTTTGTTTTGATTTATTAGTCAATATCTTATTGATATACCTTCATATATAGTTAGTAATAAAAAAACTTAATTTAAAATATCCTATTATAATTTCATACAAATCATATTAAAATATATGATCAAGATATTATTTAAAAGCTTGAAAGTAGTAGATTTTATTATTATAAATTTAATAAGAAATTCTTTCATCTTTATTTTCAATAATTAATTAATAATAATATGATATTGAATTTATTAAATTTTTTAATGTATCATTTGATAATGAATTTCATTTTTTCATTATAAATTATTTTAATTTATTTAAATTTTGTAATATTTATTTTTCAATTTTATATTTAATAATTATTCATAAATTTTTGATAGAATTTAGTTCTGAACTTAATGATAGCTAATCAATAACTTCAAATATATTTTTTGCAATAAACTTTTTAGCTTTATCACTTGTATGCTTAGAATCATTATCTTGCTGAAAATATCATTTTCTTTCAAGTATCTTTTTAATTTCTTTAATATGTTATTGCAAAATTTTAATGTAAAAGTTAGTATTTATAATATTCTAAAAGCAAAATAAATAAGTTTTTTTCTTCATACAAAAGTCATTTTACGTGAAAATATTTGAATAGTTTTTTAATATTAAATAAACTAGTCATTTATCTTTATACTAATAATTAATTATATTTAGAAATAGTTGGAATATTATTTCATCAGAAAATAAGATTTTTTTTCAATCATCATTAAGATAATATTTAGTTTATTATATATATTTCTTTTTTTAAACTGTTATTAATATCAATATAGTATTTGATTAATTTTTTTATATCTATTTGATTTTAAATATCTTCTAATTATATGATATGAAATATCTATTCCTTTCATACTTAGTTTAGTAGTAATTTTTCATAGGAATATAGAAGAAGTTTTACAAATATATATGATTCATCTTTCTTAATACAATCACAATAATTTTTTTAGAATGTCTATTACTATCTTTATGCTGAATTATTCTAGTTAACTCTAATTTTTTTACATTATATCAGATAGTTGAGATTGCTAGATTTATAAGTCTACTTAATTTTGGCATAAAATATTTATCTATATATCAGTAATATAATAGTTTTTTTTCTTCAAAGATGAATTATTCTATCTCTGAGATGAATAATATAAAAAGATGTGAATTAATTCTATATTAAGAATAGCAAAAAATAAAGCTTATCACATGAGTTTTATTTTATCTATGTTTGATTTGAATTGATTACAAAATGATTAACTTGTATATGTTTTTCTGTTATTAATTGTATTTGGAATTCTATTAATAAAAAATTTTAGACTAATTTTTCATATCAAGAACTAATTATGTCAATTATATAAATCATACATAATAATAATGAGATTAAGAATTTTTAACTGGTTAGGATTACTAAAATCAAGCTCAAATTCTAAGCTAATCACATGTATGTTATTACCATCACATAATTATATAGTGCATGAAATATTATTTGTGGCATTATATTGTATGCTATATTACATTGCATATGAAAAATTCAGCACGTGGCGCAGCATTTGATGTGACTAAGGTTGGTGCACCATACGACTATTTCCTGCTAAAAAAATTTTCTTTCTCTGAACTTGCATTTCTTGTACAACTGTTTTCATTCAAGCAAACAAATAAGCAATCATGTTTGATAATATTCCTCTTCCATCAGTCGAAGAGGTTGAGAAATGGACGCGAACTAACGTTATTAAATTCTTACAAGATAATGCAGATGAAGATAAGCTAGACCTTGACGACGATGACATCGCTAAAATTAAAAAAAAAAGTCAAAGGCTCAGCCTTTCTTCAGTTAAATGTGGATAAACTAATGCAAGATGGTTTAGAGCGAGGACCAGCTGAAACCATTGCTGGACTTATTGAGAAAATTAAGGGCGAAGGACAGGGTAAGTAGTACCACGACTGCATTCGAATATGCTCCGCATAGAGTCTTATTGTGGAACAATGGCACTTACGTGCCTGACTCATATTCCAAACCTATACTGCTTTCTCCGCAGTAATTTCATGCGATTTCATCAATAGACGTACTGAGTCTTCGGGAGCAGACATTGTATAATGAGGTGCTAGACCTGCGAGCGAAGCTTGCAACCTTGTAAGAGAATCTTTTTATAGTATGCAAATTGTTATGGTGAAATGATTTCGATATAGCTAATAACGTTTGCAATGCAGTTCTTCATCGGCTACTAAGCGACATTTTTCCGACTTGGATAACTATGAAGAAGGTTAGTTGTATAGTATATTTTGCTTTTATAGAATTCTTGTCATTTCAACTAAACTTTTCCGATCTTTACAGAACAGCAAAAAAACGTAAAGAAGATTAAGAGCTATCCTCCCCCGTCATCTTTTGCACTTCTTATTAATCTTATTGACCATCATGTTAAAGACAAGCAGTTACTTATTCACCGTCCTCCAGAATGCGTTGGCCCGCCAGTGCAAATTTATCACGACGTTTTCAGTCAGTTCCTGCGTGATTACCGTAATGAAGATCTAGAAATGGGGAGAGAGCATTATGAATGGACCCTTGAGTTCATTAATGGAATGGCTGAAATATACCGCAGTGAACGTGAACGTTCTATAGTGTTTAAAGAAAAAATTCGTAAATTATTTGGTGAGGAATTAAGAATAATTAGCCTGGAAGATGATTCTTCAAATGATGGTGTATTGGAATCTAACGTCTTTTCAAAATGTTTTACGCTTTCTTGTTGTAATGAAAAATGAAATTGGCACTGGTAGCTGTGATCCAACTATCCAGGCTAGTGCTTCTTTTGCAAAATATTATACCCAAGAGACATATGGGGAAGTACTCAAATGGTGCAACTGGCCATCTTTTATCTTGTGCTTAGCTGGACCATGGGTGTGTATTTTAGGGGCAGTATATGTTGAGAAACCCATTGTAGATCCCTTGACGGACTTTATACCTCTTATTCCCACAAACAATCGAGCCCATGCGGAGCGAGTGGCACGACTTTTCAAAGCTTTGTGCTTGGGAGTCAACAGGCTAAAAGAGTATTATGTATCGCTAGATATACCTACAAATCGACAAAATTCATACCGATTTTTTCCCTATCCGAATCAATACAAACACCAAGATACAATCGTAGAATTTACATATGAAGGAAAACTTGTTGATCACAAGCTTCTTTGGAGAGCCATAACAAAAGACGGGCGGAAAATTATTGTTAAGTTTGCGTGGCAGTATAATCGTAGGGCACACGAACTATGTAGCGAAATTGGAAAAGCACCAAAATTACTCTACATTAACAAAGAGATGGTGGACGGTTTCTATATGGTAGTGATGGATTATGTTGAGGCCGAACCACTTTATAACTGTAGCTCACTTAGTCGTGATGAATATAAAACGATTTTAAAAGATGTCAAAAAAGCTATAGACAAATTACATGAGGAGAATATTGTTTTTGCTGACCTCCGTGATTCCAACATTTTAGTTAATAAATCTAAAGGTCAGTATCAAGGAATGTTGATAGATTTCGATTGGGCAGGTAAAGAAGAAATCGAGTGCTATCCATCTTTCATGAATCATAAACATATTAATTGGCCACCAGGGGCTGAAGATAGGAAGAAACTGAATCGTAAACACGATGTTTATTGGTTGGAGCTGTTGAAATCTAAATACTTGGGTGAGAGTGTAGACCTCGAATGATTAGTTGGTATGGTGTTTGAGGATAAAGTGGAAAACAAACAATTATGTATAACAAGCTGTGCAAGTTGTGCATATATTTGTTTTAATGATATAATAATAAACAAATCCTCGAGTTAATCATATTCATACGTTTTGGGAATATTGAATGCCTATCTCTCTTGGTTTTATTTATGAGAATTAAAATATTTATTACCTGTTCCATTGATTATGAATTTCGGCCGAAAATTTTAATTTTCGATTTATTATAGAATTTATTTTGAGGGTAGAAATTAGTCGAGTGATCTTAATGTACATATTTATTGTGACAGATTAAAATGAAATCGGATTAAAATGAAATTTTCTCTATTTTAATATGAAAATTTCGTATTTTTTTG